TCCTTTTTTAAATGTATTTTAGTACAGGGTCTACAGGGTCTCACTACACAGATCACTCATAGTGAAGTGATCTTCCTGTTGTCAGCCTCCCAAGTGCTGGGATTACAGGTGTGTGCCATTATTTATCTTTTTCTTAAAATTCTTTGAGGATTTTTTTTTGGGGGGGTACAATCTAACACACATTTTTTGTGGCTCCATTAAGACAGATAAAAGAATCAAAAGGAGTAAGAATGAAAACCAACCATCACCTCACTATACATGACTATAGATGATGTTTTGGTGTAGCAAGATCTAGGTATTTTTGTGTGAAACCAACTCTGTGATCTTATAGTCTGCCTTTGCTAGTGACCTCCTTTACAGTCATACTTGATTGTGAAGTACATTCTGTCATCAGAGAAACTTACCTTTTCTCTCTTTCTTTTTCTTTTCTTTTTCTTTCTTTCTTTTTTTTTTTTTTTTTTTTTTTTTTTGCTTCCCACTGCATCTGAGAAGCTACCCAAAGGCATCTGAGACACCCAGCCCCAGGCCCTACCTGTCCCCGCATGGGTGTGGAGCCCAACCTGACCTGCGACACAGATAATATCAGTAGAGGTAGGCACCAGGCATGAAGTGAGAAGAGTGAGCGGTGGCTCTGTCTGGACCCAAGGTCAGGAGGTCCCTTGGATGTGCTCTAAGCCACCTCTGCCATAGCTGCTGCTCGGTCCCCAGTGCATACACTCACCACTGGGGGGCATGGCTGCCCCGCATGGAGGAGCCAGCTAAGCTCCTTCCTCCCTAGGGGACCCTCACCTCGCTGCCGATGGAGGCACCAGGGCTGGGTGGTGTCTGAAGGTCTGCTGGCACCCAGCTCGCTCTTGGCCACCACCCGGAAGTGGTACTCATGGCCAGGGAGGACGCCCAGGAGAGTGAAGCGGTTGGTGTGGACGCAGTCAGCCACCTCTTGCCAGGAGCCGTGTGACGAGGAACGTGTCAGCACTGTGTAGTGCAGGGGGACGCCCTGGGCCTCGTCTGGAGAGGGCTCCCACTGGACTGTCACCGTCCCAGGCACATTTTCCTGCAGGTGTATGGGCCCAGGGGCCTGTGGCCATGCTGTGAGGGAGGGAGCAGAGGGGACCTATGCTGCAGGGGACAGAGAAATCCCCTGCCATAGTCCTCCTCTCCCAGGTCCCTAAGTCTTCTCAGAAGCCAAGGTCCTGGGCATTCCTATCTTGCCAGGCAGGTGACTGGGGCTAGAGGAATCTCAGTCAGGTGTCTAGTTATCTTTAGAGGATAGAAAACTTCTTACTCAAGAGTACTTTTTTGGTTTGGGGGTTTTTGTTGTTGTTGTTGTTGTTGTTTTTCTCTGGCCGTACTGGAGGTTGAACCTACAATCTTCCTACTGTGTTACCTCCCCAGTCCCTTTATATTCTTTTTATTTTTTAAACACAGTCTTGCTAAGTCACTAAATTGCCTAGACAATTGTGATCCTCCTGCCTCAGAGTGCTGGGATAATAGGTATGCACCACCATGCCAGGCTCCAAAAGAATATTTTAATTCAATTTAATTTATTATAAGTAAAAAGGCACAACATGGGCAGAGGTGGAGGCTTTCAAAAATCAAGTTACAGCTCTCCTGCTGTTAGTCTCTCTTATTTGAATATGCAAGGAGAGACTCCAGCAGGGCAGGGGGTGGGTGGGAATTCCTGAAGGACACCTTGATGCCCTGGCCAGGTGACATGGCTGAGCCTTGTGCCCAACATCCATGCTTGGCAAAGGTCTGCAGTCTAGAGCCCAGGGCCACACATGGCTCACCTGCCACCCTGACAAGGAAACTGTAGGTGGACTCCTTCCCCTGAAGGTCCCTCAGCACCACAGCATAGCGGCCACTGTCCGAGAGGCTGGCCACAGGAATCAGAAGTTGGGTGATGCCATCCTTGGTGGTAGTCACACTTCTTTTGGGCAAGGGCAGACCATCTTTCAGCCAGGTCACCTCAGGCAGAGGGGCAGCCTGGGAAGGGAAGCAAAGGAGAAGTTGAGAAGGGAGAAGCGACTGCATTGAAGCTGGGGCTGAGGGTAGGCAGGGCAAGAGAGCACTACAGCAGGGAAATGTCCAAGCCCAGACACACATGGGCAAGTGCCTGTTCTGAGGCAGCCTAGTGACAAGGCTATGGTGAAGTGCAGGGGTTGGTGGGCTAGGACCAGAAGCCAGAAGGGGAGGCTGGGCCAAACTGTCACGTGCCCTTAACACCACGCCTCTGCAGATAAAGGTCTGGGTTTGTGCTGTGAGAAAGGACATGCTGCCGCAGAATGCTGGGCAGGAGCTGTAATTGGGGCAGGGAGCGGGTGTGGTACTGCCGGGGAGTGAGGAGGGCCTCAGCCCAGCTCGGGGCGACTCGGAGACGCTGCAGCAAGGAGAGAGCATGGGAGGTAGATAAGGTAGCCTGACCTGGAACTGAGTTGCCCCTGAGCAGGCTGGATAAAGACGAGGCCAGCTGCTTGGTGACCATGCTGCCACCTGCCTGGAGAACCCACGGTATCGGGCACAGTTCAGGGGCTCACAGTAACTTACGACATGAGAATGTTCTGAGGACCTAAGGAACTAACAGTACATGGGAAATATGGAGAACAGGGCCCAGGACACAGCAAATGCTCAGGGTGGATCAGTATTGTCATCACTATCATTGTCCTATGGTCTAACCTAAGATCATGAAGTTCAGAGTAGACAGATGTAGGTCTGAATCTGGTCAGAACAGCTGTGCATTTCTCACACGAAAGATAAAAATGATTTTAATAATAATAACATCAATAATTAAAGTAACATATATTGGGTGCTTGTCACTTAGCAGGCTCTGCCTACGTGCTTCCTGTGAATGAATTCCTTGAATCCCAAAAGCACCCATTTGGGACAAGATACTATCATGATCTCCATCTGAAAGATGGAGAAGTTGAAATGCAGAGGTTAAGATACTTGTCCAAACCAAAACAACTAATAAGCGAGGACATCAGAGTTAGGGGCTAGACAGTCTACTCTGAACCACCACATCACTCTTGGACTGTGTCCATACTTAGGAGGTGGATGAAGAGCATCCTGAGTCAAGTGCGGGAGACATGCTTGCACAAAAATACATTCGGAACTCAAAAGGGCTGGGCTGGTGAGATAGCTCAGCGGTCTAAGCTCCTGCTTATACAAGCACAGGGGCCAGGATTCGATCCCTGGGCACCACATGCCGCACTGGCCCCACCCCCAGGGTGCACTGAGCTGGAGACACAGTCCAGGTGTGTTGGCTTATGCCTGTAATCCCAGCACTTGGGAGGCTGAAAACAGGAGGATCACTATGAGTCTGAGTTGTGCAATGAGACCCTGCACAAAATACAATAAATAAATAAAATTAAATTAAAAAGACAATATTCACATTGCGAAAGCCAGGTTTAGAGGCATAGAACCAGCAGCTACCACTAGAAGGTGATGCGTAATGAGCATGGAGACCAAAGACAGCCCAAGGCCTGGCACACGCTGTGCCTTCCAGGAGGATGCTCCTCCCTGTTTTCTTATATCTGGCCTGTCAGCCCCAAAAAATAACAAGGAAGGAAAGAGAACCACAGGCCACTCTTGGCCGCTCTGGGCTCCCCTCCCCCATTCACTTCTAGGTCCACTCACTTCAAAGGAGACAGGCACACGGAGGGTGTCCCCAGCTCTGACTGTCAGCGAGTCCTTCATGCTGGAGTCCACGAGGAACTTAGGACAGACTGGAACAGACAAGAGGGCTCGTCAGCCCTCCCACCGCACCAGCAGGGCAGAGCAAGGCGAGGCCGGGCCAGTCTGCCTGCTGTTGAGATCACACAGGTTGGGACAGGAGCTGGGGGACATGCTGGCAAGAGAGGGATAGGAGCAGAGGCTGGGTGTGGGCTAGAACAGGGAGGAAGGTGACCAACAGCTCAGCTTTTCTTTCTGCAGATGAGATAATTAGCAGTCGGAGACAGGAAATGCCTGACTTTTCTGGCAGAGCCCCCAGGAGGATATTCTAAGATTCTGGACTCTGGGCACCAGGTGTTTTCCCAGTGGACTTCATTCCTGATTACCACAATAACAGCTACATCATTTGGGACGGTCTAGTGTCAGCCTGGGTCAAAGACAGTTGAGCAGGTTTCTGCCTGGGACAAGTACTGACTGAGCTGAGCATCACTAATGCCTTGAAGCCACCCTTTTAAAATCCTGGCTTTGCCTCTGACCTGCTGTGGGTCTGTCAGCAAAGCACCTTAGATCTCAATTCTCTTCTCTGTAAACTAGGAACCAAAAAACTTAACTTGTAAGGTAGATGTGGATTGTAACGAGAACACATTTCTTAAAAGGGCCTTCTAGTCCAGCACCCAGCATGAGGGCGATGCTCACTGCGTTAGGCTGGGGAAGGGGGTCCTGACGCAGCAAGTACATGGTGGCCTGTCAGGGCCGCTTTCAGAAAGCCAAAGCACTTGCTGTGGGGATGAGGGCACACTCACCAGTGAGAGGCGTGGCGTGCACTAACGTGTCCAGGGCAGTGGGCTCGCTGCAGCCCCCGTCATTGACTGCCGTCACCCGCACAAAATAGCCCTGTTGGGGCCGAAGCCCCTTGGCTGTGAAGGTGGTGCCTGACACCATGCCTCCGTGGCATGGGCTCCACTGGAGACTGTCTGAGCCACACAGCTCCACCAGGTACCCCCGGGCGTCGTCTCCATGCTGAGGATCTGGCCCCACCCAGCTCAGTGTGATGCTGGTGCTTGACGTGTCTGTGACCTGGAGATCCCGCACGCGCCCTGGGGGTCCTGGCCAAGCACCAGGAGAGTGTCAGCAATGGCACTGGCCTAAGGGAGGCCATTCATCAGTCTTGCCGCAGGAGGGAGAATTTCTTTCACTTAGCAGTTCCTGAAGCACCTGCTTGGTACTCTTCTAGCCAGTACTCAGCTGTGTTCCAGCCAGGACTATGCACACACAGATCCCAGGCCCCATCCTCCAGGAAGCCTCCCCCACCTCATTCCACTCCTTCACCAACTTTCTCACCCCCTTCCCCTAAGCATCGTCCATAATTCTTGAAAACTAGTTGATCTCTTAGACTCCTTTATCTTTGAAGACTAGAATTCTGTCTTTTTGTTCTAAACTATAAATTCTTAGTAGAGACTGCCTGTGAGGCACTCAGGGAAGACTTCTAGTTCTTCATCTGTCCACTGGGGACAATAACACTCTATATACCCATAGGAGTTGTGGAACAAGCAAAAGGCACAGTGAGATGAGTGGGAAAGGGCAGCCTGCGCAGCACTGAAGCCCAGCTGCGGTCTGGACACATCCGGGGAACTTAAAAATCCCAGTAGCCAAATGCCAGCTACACATTACGATCCAGCAAATCTGGGGTGTAGCCAACGCATTAGCATTTGTATTGGAGCTCCTTGGAGGTTTCTAACTATGAAATGAAGTTTGAAAAGCTGCAGGTCTAGAGTGGCACTCCCAGCTTTGAATTTGCTGCGTTTGGCTTGGTTTTTCTGAGACAAGGTCGTGCTACGTAACCCGAGCTAGTCTCAAACTCGCAACCCCTCTGGCTCAGCCTCCTGAGTGCTGAAATTGCAGGCATGCACCACCGTGCCTAGCTCTCTGCTTTTTCTGTTGACCTGAGAACGTGTACTTAGCACTTCTCTGATGTCCTGAGATCACGGAGAGGAAAATGCTGCTCGAGACTGTTGGTTTCTCAAAAGCAGAGAACAGGCTTGGTGTACTTACTGATTATTTCCTTGCATGATGTGGGGGTCTAGTGGGTGATGAACAACATTCACTGGATAGAAAACCTGGCCCCCAAGAGTAATACTGTCTCACTGGAGTGAGTAACTAGTTATAAAACTGGGACAAGTGCCATTTGTCTTCTGCCCAGAATGACACAACCTCAGGGAATCATAATCTTTTCTAATCCTCACTTCCTGGCCTCTGGACCTGTTTGATTTTGACTTGGAGCCTCTAAGATACGTCTCACCCCAGCAGCTGATCTACCTTTATCCTCTAGCTTTCCTGAGCTTTTTCTTCAGGACTGTGTCTCACCCGTTACCTTCCATCCTATCCCACCTGCTTTCAGAGTTAGCCTATCCTCATCACCCACCTGGGTTGGTGCCTTACTTACTCATGGGATCCCGGGCAAAGGCAGCGTCTGATGGGGGCCCAGGCTCTCCGGGGCCTGAGGGAGCAACAGCCGTGACCCGGAACTGATATTGACAGCCTGGCCGCACATCTGCCACGGTGCATCGCCTCTCTGTGAAGAGCCCGCCTCCCATCAGCCCCAGCCTGAGTGGGGCAGGCAATGGGGAGATAGCTTGGTGTCTCTGAGTTCAGGAGAGATCCAGACTCAGGGTCCTCACACATCCCTCCCTCATGCTCCAGCTAGTTCTTTTTTTAAAGTGAATGTAGAATGTTTGGTAGCATCCCTGGCCTTTTCACACTAGATCCTGAAAGCGTCTATTCCCTGCTCACTCGGGACAAACAAAACTAACTCAAAACATTGCCAAGTGTTCTTTTATGGTTTAATTATAAAGTGTCCCCCAAAGACTCACATATTGAGGATTAATCCCTTGATGAGTCCATAGTTGAGTGGGACTCAGTTGACGGATGTAGGTCACATGAGCGTTCCTTTGAAGGGCGCATCCTTTACTTAGCCCCTTCTTTCTACATCTCTTGCTCCCTCTGTTTCCTGACTGCCCTAAGCCAATAAGCTTCCTCCCACCATGCCTGTCCACCATGTAGTTTCTGTCTCAGAGCCAGGTGACCATGGACTGAACTCTGAATCTGTGAGCCAAAGTGAAGCTTTCTTCCTTTAAAGTTGCGTATGTTGGGCTGGAGAGATGGCTCAGTGGTCTAAAGCACCTACTTAGAACAAGCTTAGCAAAGCATCAGGGACCGCGGTTCAATCCCCCAGCACCACATGCCAGCCAGCCCCGCCCCCTGGTGGGCTGAGCTGGCCACACACACACACCCCTCTCTCTCTCTCTCTCTCTCTCTCTCTCTCTCTCTCTCTCTCTCTCTCTCTCTCTCAAATAAATAAAAATTAAAAAAAAAATAAAGTTGCGTATGTCAGGGATTTTGGCCCAGCAACAGGCAACCAACAAATACACCCTCTATGGGCACAAAACCACCACAAATGAGACCCACTGTATTAGGCTAATACCAGGGGATCTTGGCAACAGGAAAGGGACTAAGGCAATAAGGCAGTGTAGAGCCAGGCCACAGGGAACATCCACTGCACAGGTTGGCTTACCAGGCATGGGCTGGTCATTCACAGCTGCCCAGGTGTTGCTCCCCTTCTTGCGCTTCTCAATCAGGTAACCCAGGATGTGGGCACTGCCACGGCCCTGAGGTGCTGTCCATGTCATAGTGATGCCCTGGCTAGAAGCTGACAAAATGGTTGGGGCAGAAGGGGGCCCTGGGAGAGCTGTGGACAGAGAAGTTGCTGATCAGTCAGAGGTTGAGAAAAGGCGCTGGCCCATGGGGAGGTTGTGGGTAGCAGGCATGGGCTCAGGGAGACACGCTGCCCTTTGCTAGGGTTTATGGAGGCAGAGACAGCTGTTATAGCTATGTAGGAGTAGCAATGATGGGACAGAGAAATCATTTTGACCTCATAATCTATAGCCAGTCCTGAGGTCCCTCAGAGTCCAGTGCTCTGATAGAAGGTTCCAGACTAGGGACCTATAACAGAAAAAGGTGCTGACCTTCAGCAGCTTCCTGAGAGAATGGGCTTTTGGTGTCCATAGCAAAGACTCCGTAAATGTCAGGTCCAGACTGGCTAACACATCCCTAATAAATCTGAAATAGGAGTCTTCCACATCCCCAGGCTCAAGCTGATGATACTCAGCCCCCCGGGAAGACCTGCCTGTCCTCTGAGCACACTGGGAAGCCCGAGGGTGTCCCCAAACACCAGCCTCAGCCTTTTATCTTACCCTCAGGAGCCACCAGCACCTCCTCAGATTCCAGGGCCTCCCCAGACCCCTCCGAGGTCACAGCCCGCACACGGTAGGTGTACTTCCTGCCCTGCTCCACACTGCCATCCGTGAAGGTAGTGCTGTCTGGGGAGGACTTGCCCACATTTAGCCAAGTGCTTCTGCCAGCCTGCCGCCTCTCCACCACGTAGTGCTCCACATCCCGGCCCCCATCTTCCCTTGGGGGTTGCCAGGAGAGGCAGACACCAGCTCTGTGGCAATCCTGCACCTCCAGAGGGCCCTGTGGGGCCTGAGGCTTGTCTGGGGATCCACCAGGAGGAGCAGGAGAGAAGCAGGTCAGAGAAACTAGAGAAGAATGGTGTTGAACCCCAACCCTGCCCTTCAGCAGATAAGACTGCAATAGGGACTGCTTCCTGAGTTACCCAGACAGCTTCCCAAGGCACCCAAAGGTACAGACAGCTCCTGGCACAGCCATCTGTCCTTGCTTTCCATCCCTTCCAACACCCAGGAATGAACTGTGGAACATTCTAGCCTGTGCCCTGCCCCATTGTTCACTGGATGGAATGGGTATCTGCTCAGACCTCTGGACAAAGGCACCACTGGAGCTGGAGGCCACTATCCCACCTGACCACTTCCCTAAGGCCAGTGTCTTAGGGCTCACAGAAGCTGGAGTCCAACCCTTGTTTATCCTAACTCTTCCCTACCCAGTCTGGGGAAGGGAGGGAGGATGAGTAACTGTGGCTTTGAACCTTAAGCAAACTGCAAATGAAAGCCAAGCCAGCAGAGACCACACCCAGATCTCCGACCTGGCCCTGCCAGGAGGAAGGACCTGAAACCATGGGGAGTCTTGGGTCTTGGCTGGGGAGAAGCTGGGACTGGCACCTATGACTTGCACGGTGACATCAGCCTGCACAGAGCCTCCCTCGCTCTTCAGTGTCACGCTGTAGTGGCCACTGTCCTTCCTGGTGGTGCTGGGGAGGCACAGCCGTGTATAGCCATCTCCCAGGGCCACCTGGGCCCCCCTGTGGCTGCTGCCCACCACCTCAGCCCCATCCTTCCTCCAGGAAGCCTGAGCAGGGAGGCGACTCTCGAAAGGGATCTTCACTGTTACTGGCTGCCCAGCCTTGACCACCAGTGGCTCCTTCAGTTTCTCTGTCACATCTGGAAATATGGTTGGGGGATCTAGAGAAAAAAACAAGGCAAGAGGGTCAAAGAAGCCCAAGCACAAGGCACCTGAGGGTCCAGGAGAAGGAAGGTTGGGCTCAGAGTAAGGAACTCCCTACCCCACCTCCTGAGGACCAACAAGGAAAATGGCTTTACAGCAGGAGGGACCAAGGTTAGACCTCACCAAGGACTTCCTCACAAGGAAAGAGGTAAGACTGCTACACATCAGGGGCTTTGAAATGGAGTGTATCAGCTGATGCAGAGACTGTTGGGCAGTGCAGAGCAGGGCTTCCTCACCGTGGACCGTCAGTGTGGCTTCACTCTGCTGGTTGCCTGCTACGAATGTGTACTTCCCAGCCTGAGCCCCCTGCACATGGGCAATACGGAGTCTGTGCACAAGCCCATCTTGCTCTAAGATGATGCCATCCTGGGTGGTGAGCTAGAGATAAAAGGCCACAGTGGAAATGGTCATTCCCACCTGGTCTGGCCCCTCGAGCTGCTAGGTAGGTCCTCTGCTGGGGCAATTGCTGGAATCCCCACAGCTGCATGCAGGGGATGCTTATTAGGCGCTGGTGGCACTGACACTCTGTGAGCCTAGTACCTCATTTAACTGTCAAAACAACCTTAAGCAGTCGGCACTACTTTAGTTCCACCTTACAGATAAGGACCTTATGCAAGGGCAGCTAAGCAGTGGCAGCAGAACCGAGTCTGGAGCCAAGTCACACTGATGACATGGCCAGTACTCTGAAATACTGTGCTGTGTCTCTTTCTGATGTAACCACTATAATGGTGCCAACCAGCCTGCCTGGTTTGCACAAGGCCTTTAAAAATGGGTGGAATTCATCACAAATTTAAAAATCTTTATTTCCAACACACTAAGTCACTGGCTATTCAAACCTCCCCTCCAAATGCATACCTTAGTAAAATGAAGAATAGTCTTTTCTGTGAAGCCTCTACCATCCACTTCCTTTTGCTTTGCTGCTACCACCACATCCCCTCCCTACATTGGTGGGTGCAGGGACTATGTGAGGGGGCCAGTACCTTGACTCCACCTTTAAACCAGGAACAGGGTCCCAGGTCACTGGTGAGGGTACAGGAGAGTGTGGCGGCCTCACCCTGTTGCACCTCCGTGTCAGCCAGGCCTTGAGAGAAGTGGTTCTTGGGTCCTGGAGAGACACAGAGTCCTCAAGGGCCAGCCTCCCAGGCCATGGCCTGCACTGAACCCTAGAGACTGCCATGATCCTGCCAAGTGGGCTCAACCAATGCCAGCAAAGCCAAGCTTCCCATTTTCTAAGCAGGACTGTGACTGATGCCCGAGATCTGGGGGTGTAAGGTGAATGAAGAGGTCTCTGAGTCACACAGATGGGAGGTCTGGGTCACCCACACAGAGTTAAGCCAACAATTCTGGTACTTTGGATATGGAGTTTCAAGACCAGGTACTCAGGAGGCCTCTGAGCCTCATGCAGCCTGGATCTTGAATGCAAAGGAGGAAGGGGCTGCTTCCTGAACCTGCAAGAGGCTGGAATTGGGCAACTGGTAGGGACAAACTCCCAGGGCTGGAGGTGGAGTTGGGACTAACCCAAGCACCCCAGTGGCCAGGGAGCTCCCCTTGGCTCCACCCCACGGAAGCAGCCAGCTGGGAAGACCTACCTTGGTCTTCTGTGGAGAAACTGCCAGTGCTGGCCTTGTATCTGCATCTGGGGCTGTGGGTGGCATCCCGCCCCTCATCACAGACATCCGACTTGCCCTCTTTGGCACCTCTCTTGCTGCCAAGATGCCTGGGGGACCCCCAGCTCCCGTCTTCACTCCAAGTCTCCCCCAGGTACCCTTCATCTTCACTGCCAGGCTGCTGTCCCTTTCCTTTGGCCTCCTCTGCACTTCTTCTCTTTGCTGGTTCAACCTCAGCCCCTGACTGTGCCTGGTACATGCTCCTTCTGGGACCAGATCTTTGGCCTGATCTACCAGACTCTTCTGCCTTCTGTCTGTCACATTCCTTTAGGTTCCCAGGACCTCGGGCCATGCCATTCTTCCCCTCTAGGGACCCTCGCTCCCCAAGTATTCCCCTTTTCCCTGGCTGATAGCCAGAGCTGAGGACCCTTCCCAATCCACTTGTAGAGACTTTCCTGCCAGAGGAAACATCTAAGCCATTCCAGGTTCCTTGGGATCCTGACTCCCCAGGTTTAGGGGTGAGGCCATTCTTTGACTCGTTGGAATTCCACTTACCCAGGACACCTGAGTATTGTCCATCATTAGACCTTTCCCTCCTGTGGCCTGAACCCCTACTGTCCCAGGAGCATGGATCTAGACATTCACCAGCAGTCTCTTGGCCTGGCACAAGTCCCCTACCTCTAGAGCCCTCCAGCCCCTCATGAGTTTGGGTATTGGCATCTTTCTCTTCGAGAGAACTGGAAGCCCTGGAGCCCGAGGGTTTGTTCCCATCACCCACGCCACCTTGGCCATGCCCCTGGTCTTCCCAGCCTGGGGCCCAAGCATGGCTCCCCCCTTGCTCATCGGCTGGCATTAATGTTGACTTGCCCCTTGCTCGAGGCACAGAACTGCTGCCCCTACTCTGCTCTGTCCCTGATGAGCTCCCAGAACTTGCTCCCATCCCTCTGCCTCCCAGCATTGAATCCACATCTCCCTGAGGTGCCCCTGGCCCCTGCTCAGCCAATTTAGCCTTGTCCATTGTCCTTGAGCCTGCTTTCCAAAAGTCCTGTTTGTGTCCAGATTCTAGAGCAGCAGTTCCTGTCCAGGCCTCATCATTCACTACTCCTCTATCATCAAGCAACCGGGAAGCTCCGGTTGTCATTGCTTTGTCAGTGGACCCACCCTCCCCACTGGGACCTCCTCTCCACTGAGAGCTCCTCCCAGGACCATCTTGACATTCTCTGATCCCAGATTTTCCCTTGGAATCAGTAGTGCCAGGGGAAACAAAGATTCCTGAACTTTCATAACCCCCAAGACTGTTCCTGGAACCCCATCCATCTGAAAGCATCTGTGGCCCTTCCTGTATCCCCAGCACCCCTGAACACTCAGAACTGTCCATGTGTGCTGTAGGGCCTGTCGCATGGGTGAGCCCCCTTCCTCTGCTTCTCTCTGGCCCACCCGTGGAGCTCATACCACCTTCAGGTCCTGACCCACATTCTGTGGCTTCGGGTCCCATTCTGGTCAGTGATCCTGATGTGCCAGACCTCCCAGAACCACCTCCAGAGCATGTCTCACCCTTGGGCCCGACTTCCCAAGATCCTCCCAAGCTTCTTCTATCACCAACTTCATAGCCCAGCCCCATTTCTCCAGGTCTCCCAAAACCATCCCTAAAAGCTTCCTCACTCCCTAATGGAATCTTCCCAGAACCCTCTAAAACATTTCTGTAACCTGCCTCACCTCTTGACCCCATTTCTCCAGAGCTCCCAGCACCACTGCTGTACCCCACAGTATCCAAAGACCCCATTCCTCGGTGGTGTCCTGAGTCATCCCTGCAGCCTGCCCTATCCCTTGACCATGTTTTCCTAGGACCAAGGCCTTGTGGCCCTTCTCCATAAGCTCTTCTGTCCCCAGTTCTCTGAGGCTCTGGAATTTCAGATCCATCCCCATAACCCAGCACACTGCTAGGCCCCTCAGCCTGCTGGCTGTCAGAAGCAACCCCCGCATGAGGAGCTAGGGCTTCTGGGTGCTGGCTATTGTCCCAATGCCCACTTCTAGCTGCAGAGGCCCTGGCACCGACGAACCTTGTCCCATTGCCTTCACCATCATTGCCTCCTGCCCTCAGAGACCCTGGTTCCGTGGCTTTTGGACCCCCTGTGCCATCTTTGTAGCCACCATCTCCAAATGTCCCCAGGGCTCCTGTGGCTCCAAAGCTCCCAGAATCTCCACCCCGACTCCAAGACCTTATTCTTGCTGAACCCTCTTCTGCTTGCACACATTCCTCCTCAGTTGTCTGTGCTGCTCCTGAGGCCTTGAGACTGCCTCCACCTGCAGACCCCACTGTCCCAGGACTCCATAAAACACCTTCAAAATGCTGCCCTCCTTCAGAGCCTGTTTGCTCCTGGCCTCTGGATGGATCCCAACACCAGGCTTCACCTACGGACACCCCACTGGGGCCCCCTGAATCATTCCTGAGACTGGCAGCTCTTGTAGACCTCCTTCCCGCAGGACCACAGTGATTTTGATCTCCAGTCCACATTCCCCCAGGCACCTTTGATCCGTGCCTGTAAGCATGCCCTTCCTCAGACACTGCTCCAACAGATGTCCCAGAGGCACCTCTATACCCAGCACCATGACCAGACCCCCTTTCTATTGGCACCCCTGTGCCATCACTGTAAGCAACTCCATTTCCAGGACCTGTTCCCCTAGAATATGCTGGGCTCTCCCCATATCTAGATTCTACCTGCCCAGGGCCTTCTAAGCCATCCTTGTAGTTCATCTCTCCTCTGGGCCCTTCTTTACTGCTTCCTGACCCATTGCAGAAATCCGACCTGGGTCCTACTGCCCCCGGCTCTCTTACTCCTTCTGTGTCTCCTAGTGTCCTTCCAGGCTCCTGAGTACCCTCACCTGGAGCCCTAACCAGCCTGGGATTTTTAGCATCTCCCACCTGACCAGATTGCAACCCAGCTTCCTGGGGACTACCCCCTACCCCTCCACTGGGTCCCAGAATTCCAGGCTCAATGTGAGTCCTGGTCTTTCTGAGGTGGGACCATGTATCATCCTGAGGATCTGGGCTCTCAGACTCTATTCTGCCAGGCTCCCCTGCTCCCTTCTGAAGGCTCCTGGATACGTCCCCTCTCCCACCTGAGGCCCCAGCTGTGAACTGGCCATTCCTTCCTTGGTGTTCTCGAATGTTACTTTCCCAGTCCTTGAGATCTCCTGGGCCTCCAGGGCCAGGTTTATAGCCCTTTCCTCTAGCGACAGTGTTCCCAGATCCTAGGTCATCTGCCCCCTGCAATGAGTCCTCAGCTTTGGTTTCAGGACTCCTGTCCTTTGGGATAAACGTCCTACCTCTGGGGAGTAAGGGTTCTTGGGGGTATTTGTCTCCAGGTATCTGTCCTGAACACCCTCCTGGCCCCCAGGAGCCCCTGGCTTCCTCATGACTAGCATCTGTATCTCCCTGAGAACCCCAGGACTCAGGGCCCACTCCTGCCTTGGAGCTGGAACCTCCTCTTCTGGGAAAGTCCAGGATACCAGGACCTACTACCCCACTGCTGCCTTCAGCTTCTGCTAGGTCAGTGCCTCTATTCCACACTTCCCCGGCTGATTCCCTTTCCCTTTCCCCACTCAAGCCATCTCCTCCCTCCATCTTATCCAGGCCATCACCTTGTAGAATCCTTTCCATCCCCTCCTCTTTCTTCCAAGATCTCTCAGGATCAAACTGGGATCCCCTCACAGCTCCCTTCCCTGTTCCAGGTCGTGGCTGAACATCCCAGAGTTGTTCCTGGCCATGTCTGTCCAGTTGGCTGCCACTGTCCTCTCTGGGACCCCTTCCTTCCCTGCTGCTTCCCAGTCCTCCAGTTTGAGGGTGACTGGACCCAGCCTCCCAGCTTCTTCCTGTCCCCCAGTTTCTGTCCCCATGGCCTTCTCTGCCACTGCCTTGATGTTCTCTTTCCATGAAGCCCAGGCCTGATTCTGGGCCTTCTCCCTGCAGATGAAGTCTCCCTGGGAGGCTCCCATCCCAGTCTCCTTCTGGGTAGTGCTGATTTTCTCCTGAAAGAATGGCTCTGTCCCCCTCTGATTCTAGGAAGTCCTTTCTCTCCTGCCCAGGGGCCCAGGCTGAGTCAGCTTCCTCCTCACCCCCCATCAAGGAGTAGCCATGCCGGCCAGAGCCTCCGATATCTGGGCCCAGAGTGAGCCGGAGCCCAGAAGCCAGCCCTGTCCCCTTGAGGGAGCCCCCCACAGGGCCCTTCTCTCTGGATTTCCCTCCCTTGCCACTGATGCCCTCGGAGTCTTCTGCATCTGAGGCCTTAGCTCCTTGTGTCTGCAGCTGGCGGTCAGCACTTGTGGTCTGAAGGCCTTTCTCCTTCCCAGCTTCGATGAGATGTTATTTACGTGGAGGTCAATGCCCCCATAGACAGACAAGAGAAAAGACCAAAACCCCATTAAGTCAGGCCACGGCACCTGCCTGACTGGACTGCTTCACCTCACCCACAATTTCCCCAGAAAAGAAGGAAGCTGATCTCTGGGAAGGAACGAGGATGTTCCAGTGGACTAATGGACAAATCCCATCACCACTCCCCAGTCCCACTCTACTTGTTACATAGTTCATGAATTTTGGTAGCTTCTTCTTCTTCTTTTTTTTTTTTTTTTCAGTTCTAAGAACTGAAAAAAAATACTAGGAATCGAACCCAGAGGATGTTCTATCACTGAGCTCCATCCTTAGCTCTTTTTTCAATTTTAAGACAGGGTCTTCAGTTGTCCAGGCTGGCTTCTAACTTAAGATCTCCTCTCTCAGCCTCCAGGGTAGCTGAGATTGCAGGTGTGTGCCACAATACCTGGTCAGTTCTTGAGTATCTTGACATGTAACTACATAAGCCAAGTCATTTGCTTACCAAACTGCCAAGCACAGTTGTGTGTTTTTTAAAAGATCCACCTACCCAATTGCCAGCCTTACAGTTATAGTTTCCTTAGATTATATTAAACCTGGGCCCTAATCCCCAGGGAGATTCAAGAATGCTCTCTGGTCTCTAGCACTTGCAGAAGCCTGGGGCCATTTGGATCTGTGTCCTCAGTAGCTCCAGGAGGCCCAGTGGGCCAGATGTATCTGGAAAAGTTTAGGTGGCCAAGAAAGACTGCACTGAAGTAGACCAAGTCTGGAGCTAGGAGCCCCCTTGGATCTCTCTGAGTATGTACTCAAAAGCAAATGACCGACCCCAGGGAAACCCCACTGCTTCAGCCCAGAGGGCTCACATGGGGAGCCCTGGAAAGGGACAGGGATGTGACCACTTACCTTCAACCATCAGCCAGGCACTGGAGGCGTGGAGCCCTGTGCCCAGAGAATAGAGGCCCCTGTCTGAGAGGCGGGCCCCCCTCACCAGCAGCCGATGAGTAAGCCCATCAGGAGATACCATCACTTCATATTTGTCACTGAGCCGGAGTGGCTGGTGCTGGAAATACCAGGTAGCGCTGGGGCAGGGTTTGGAGAGAGTACATTCAAATACTGCATCTCCCTGCTCCTCACAGTGGGTCTCGGCCAGGGGGACCACGACTCTAGGGGGAATGGCTGTGAGGAAGCAGAAATAAGGTTGTCAATTTGGCCCCATGACAGTGCAAACTCAGGTAGTGTGGTCAGGAGTTTAGAAATCCTGGTTTCAGACCATCTTGGCCACAGATGCCCTGCACCACCTGGGATAGATCACTCTCCTGTGGGTATCAGTGACAGAGTGAAGAGTCATAGTGAGGTTGTGCTCACCATGGCCATTTTCAGCTCTGGAATCCCAGAACTCTAAGCTCGAGAGCTCTGCCTAGGAACAAAGAGGATACATGGAGGAAACCAGTCTGCTGAGGGCCGGTACAGAATTTGCACCCAGGTCTGTCTAACTCCTTTGCTCACATTGATTTCAGGCTTTTCACCACCCACTCCCTTCTCTTGTGTTAACCTTAAGCCAGGTTCTTCATGATCTACCTGTGCCCAAAGTTCTTCTCCCCAAGCATTTCTAAGAGCTCCCTCAAATTGCTGTGGGTGATGTGGACCCAGGCCTCATGGGTATGGGGCAGAGTTTATGGGGAGAAAAGGCAGCTCCCAAGTGGAAGGAGGCATGGGAAGCCGGGGAGTGTGAGGCCTATGCAAGGTACAAGCATGCCCAACATAAGGCATGGCAGTTATGTTCTTGTGACTGTGACCCAGTAGGGCCCAGCCTGAGTCCAACAGAAGACAGAGCCTGGGCATGCGTCCTTCACCCTGGTCATCTTTGCAGTGGAGCCATGTCACATTTATCCTCTCAGTAAAGCAGCAGTGGGGAGCCCCACACTGCACAGATCTCCCCCTTCAAACTTCAGCAGTGAATGCCGCTCACCACCAGCCTCTAGTTCTGTGGAGAAGACCACAGCGTCCTCCACCTTGACCTGGTAAAGGCCAGCATCCTCTGGGTGCAGGTCCTGGATCTGGAAGTAGTACCGTTTCCCCAGGCGCCGAAGACAGTGCTTGGTCTGGTTATTGAAGCCATAGGGGATCATCTCACCATCCTGGGGTCAGGAGAGGAAAGGGGCACTTCAGAGATTCATGGGTCCTAGAGCCTCTTGCCCCATACTTACTGTGGCTGCAGGCAGGAGTTTTCTTTGGCCCAGGCCCCAGACTGGAGTCCTGGAGCTATAAAGGGCATAGAGAGGCAAGGCAGAGAGCGGGCCTGGAGGAAGTGGGTGGGAATATGTGTTCTAGACATGTTCATACTTCTTACTGTAGTATGGAATGTCCCATGGTACACCAAGTGTCATGCCAAGAGACACCGGGGGTTGTTTATCCAGCTTAGGCTGGCAGGAGAATTACAGCCAAAACAGCCCTACAATACTAGCAGGGGAGGAAGGACGGACAGCAATGTTCCTTGGGGCCCCAGCTTCTTCATTCATCAAAGAGAGACTTCAGAGAAGATATTTAAGGCCCTACAAAGCCCAGTAATTTGTATACATACTTACTTTTGCTAGGCCCCACATAGGTTATTATTTACAGAATATTAACAATAGGTAATGCTTTATAAATGCCCACTGTGTGTGGGCATAGCTAAATAAAAAAGATTCTCAGGCCAGGGAGATAGCTCAGTGACATAAACCCCTGCATAGCAAGCACAAGGTCCTGAGTTCAATTCCCGGTACCAAATAGATAAATAAATAGATAAATAATATTCTTGCCCTCAGAGGCCTAAAGTCCTAAGACAAATTATAAGCATTATAAACTAGTAAATAATTTATGTTTGGAAATGTAGAACTAAGAAAAGCAAAGATGAAAAAGAGGGTAAAGAGCCAGAGGTGTCAGGGCAGAGTGAGAGGCACACAGCAGAATCACATGGGACCACCCAGAGAGGTGGCACAGTGGGTAAGGGAACTGCCATGTGGATCCCAAGGAGGAGCGTGCCAGGCACAGGGAGCAGCTGGAGCAAATAACCCAGTGAGGCCTGAGCAGCAAGAACAGAGGAGCAAGGGGAAGAAGAGGAGGGGTGAGGATGGGGGAGGGGAGAAGTGGCTCCTGCCCAACCTCATTTGCATTTCATACACCAGGAGATAGTGCCTATGTTACCTGCACTTCACAAGTGAGGAAACTGAGGCACTGGGAAGATATGCATTTTGTGGGAGGTCATACAGCTTGTTAAGTGATAGGGTTCAGGCGAGTGGGTCGTGGGTCTACAGAGCTGTTATGCTCTGTTGTCCCACAACCATACACTTGTCCCACACAGGGGACAGGGAAATAGTCCTCAGTACCAGGCAGGAATGTGTCAAGTCTGCATCAGGAGCTCAGAGGGAAAAGGGTGCACTTTCTCATAACTTGCTTTTGAGACCCCTGTTCCAACAGCAGGTACAGTTCATGGAGTTCACAGGCCCAGTGGGAGAGCCTGGACACTTGGTAAGAAGTGCGAAGCTGCTGAGGGCTGTCCACACAGAGCGTGCCTTAATTCCAAACAGGTGCTGCACGGCGTTCTGGGGTTCGTGCAGGGGACCTGTGGGACCTACTGCTTTCTCTCTTTCCCTAGAAGGAGACCTACAGCCTCCCTCTAGCGAGCGCCGCTGCCCCATCGGCCTTTCCAGCCTCACCTTGTACAAGTAAATCTTGCTCTCGAGGTCCTTGAGATCGAGCTCCAGGTCAAACGTGGCAACACCCTCCTTGGAGACCCTGATGTGTCTCAAATTGGAGATGGCGTTGACATACTAAAGGGCAGAAAAACCCATCAGGGTAGCTCTCAGAGCACTCTTTGGGCACTCCAAACCCTCTCAGATCCTGGTCTCCTTGTCGGCCACAACATTCCAGCTGAGGAAGCCTTTGCCCAGTTCATGAATAGGGAAACTTTTCTAACCCTTAGAGTTTAGTGAATATCAGAACCAGGTTTCAAAGCCCAGATGCTAACTTAGAAGCCTGGGTCCTTGGTAGGACACCCAACTGGGGGCTAGATGGAAGAAGACCCCCCCAACCATGTTGGATTTTCCTAGGCCCAACCCTAAGTGCCTCTCCAGGTCCTTGTGTGCCAGAGGTGTTCATGGGAACAGGGCGAAGGTACCTTGGCCATCTCATCCTCCTGCTCCTTCTTCATCTCCTGCAGCTTACGCAGCATCCCCCGGAAGTCCACGATCCCATACTTTAAGCAGATCTTCTCGTAGTCCTTCCGGTCGGCATTCATCAGCAGCTGCCACACCTGCTCAGACTGCATCTTCTCTTCAGAAGTCGGAGGAGGGGCCCTGAGGAGCATGGCTGTCAGGTCAGAGACCAGAGGAGCCCCAGGTGTTGGGCTCCTGGCCCTGGCATTCCAAGCGGTCCCCAGAACTTGCTCTGTGGACACTTGAGGAAGCAGATATGGGGTCTAGAAGCTCTGGGACTGACCACTGTTCAGGCTGGAAGGATCCAGAGATGGAAAGGACAAGCCGCAGGCTATAGCTCCAGCATCCTATAGAAACTCGGCTCCTCATGACCTGAATTGTTCATTTCTGAGCAAGACGTTTTTGAGGACGGATACAGGTAGGGTTAAATTGTTCTCTGCTTTACATTGTTCTTTCTGGCAAACGCTGTTTTAGGGAGCCACCTCTTTTGCAAATAAGGTCAGGACCCAGAGAGGAGAGGTGACGAATTGGAGGAGATAGTTTTTAAAGTGACTAAGCGGGATCTAAAATCTCAGCTCAGTACTCATCCCGTCCTCCATGGGTTAAGCCTAGCTCCCTGCCTGTGTTGAAGGAGACAGGGCCTGAGTACAGCTTGTTAATGGCAGGAGCGAGGGGTCCAAACTCTCCCATGGACAGGCCCAGATTTACCTCTTTTTCAGCATCTTCCTGAAGTCCATCATTTCCTTCCTGAGGTCTAGAAAAGGAGAGGGAAGGAGACTCCTTTAGCAGGTGGGATGCTGGGCCAGAGGGCAGCACCGGGCAAGGAGCAGCTTCCCCTTCACAGACTCCAAGGGTATTTTGGATAATTCCATTTACCTTCCTGGGGTTCCTTCTGTCTCTTCCGGTTCTTCCGAAAGCCAACTGGACCACCACGGAGTCAAGGAGCGAATTGATGCAGACAGCCAGGGAGAGAGGCGAGACATGTTAGTGATCTGCCAGAGAAATAGACTCGGTCCCAGAACTCTGACCTGCCCTGTCCTCTGAGGCATGGCGTCCCCCCGGAAGTACAAATGGGACAGGACAAAGATGTAGCCATCAGGAGCTTTGGTACCCCAGAGCCCTCACATGACCCGAGGAAACCAGCCGCTATATCACCTGGTGAAGGAGAGGCCCACTCATATGTCCACAGGGGCCAGGGAGGTGGTATAAGTGAGTACAGCAGCACAGGCAGCCACAGAGGACTGAAGGGCATCTAGAGGGACAGCTGCTCTTTCACTGTGCCGAGAGCTGCGTTCCAGGGAGAGGACCCACTATTGCCAAATATGCTAAGCACTGTTGTTTGGCTGTTTCTGCAGTCACTTGTAATCCTCTTCTCCATCACCTGCTTCCACTGGATAGGCTGCAAAAACTAAATGCTTGTCTTCCCCATTTCCCTTACAACCAGCTAGCCATAGCCTGTAACACAGTTCTGGCCAATAAGAGCTAAGCAGATGCCCCCAGGGATTCCTGAGAAAGCTGTTCCTTCCTTGATAAGAGGGGCAGATGGATCTGGGTCCACCTCTTTCCTCTGGTGCTGTCTCTGAGCTGCAGAATGAGCTCCAGGTTCTTACCAAGTGAAGTGGTGCAGTATCTTTATTCCTTAGGATTATTTGGTAGGCTATTTTTAGTGCTTGTAGGCGAACCAGTAGTAAACATAACTCATTGAAAGACAAGATTCGCTTCCTCAAAAGATATCTGTCTACCTTCCAATTATTATGAGCAGACAATTAACTTCAAAAAGTGCAAACACTATGCAAAACAAACAAAACACATCCAAGACAGGAGTTTTCCCTTTGTGTTGTGCTTGTTTTTACCTCTCTTATAGGCCTGTACATCTGGGAAACTGAGGCCCAGAGAAGACTAGACACCAGCCTCCTGGCTCTGGTCTGGTTCTGGGCTGAGAGAGAGCAGTTTTCAGAGCATCTACAGCCGGGTATTGGCAGAGGGTTATGCCCAGCAGATTTCCTGCATAACGCAGGAAGCTATGGGCTGTGGCACTAGGTGTGGTGGCAGCAACCTCCCTCCTCCACCAGGCATGTGGTCCTTGTGTCCTACGAGGACCCCATACCCCAATGAGGTCTTCTGTGGAAAGCCCACCTTCGATGACAGTGAGCCTCGCCACACACGTGGCCTCCCCATATGCGTTCACAGCGGTGCAGCGGTACAGATCTGTGTCTTCACCTGTCAGCTTGTTAATCTGCAGCAGAGAACAAGGGCAGGAAAGAAGGGCTAGCACACCCCTCCCTTCATTTAAGAGACATAACTGTCACATGAATGGATGGCACACGTCCTTGTCCTCAAGGAGCTCCCACCCTTAATCAAGAAATACAGATCCCCCTGAACCAAGAACCCAGACAGCGGGTGGTTGTCTTTCCTATCAGAAGAAGCATAGAAGAGCAGAGAGAGCTGGCTTTGTGGGCAGGTAGATGTGGGACTGAAAACATCTCTGTCCTCTATTATTAGCTGTGGGATTTTGGACAAGTTACCCAACCTCTCTGAGATTTAGTTTCTTCAGAAAGTAATGACTGATTGGGATTAAATAATGTAAGCCACATCAGATATTTAGCCCATGACCTGGAATATAGATGGTACATTAGTATATCCCATTACTGATGTTAACCAGGAGTGCTTGGGTACAAATGCAATTGGCTTGCTTTAGAGTTATGTCCCCATAAACCTGCTATGAATTTAGAATATCATAAATTTAAAATGCACTTAATATAATTAACCTAATGGACATCGTCACTCAACTTAGCCTACCTTAGATGTGCTCAGATCAGACACTAGAAGTTAAAAGTTTCAAGGTCATTTTTGTATGAGAAATCCAAAGTATAAGTAATTTATAGAGCAAAATAACAGAAAGATGATAGGAAAAAGATGAGAAGGGGATCTAGACATGGAGGGAAAGGAGGGGAAGGAGAGAGAGGGGGAGATAAAAAGCATTAAGGTGTGATATGCATGTGTACTAACTCCCCACGACGAATGTATTATATCAAAAATGTATACTAATAACATGTATTAATTAAAAAACACATAATATAAAATTGTGAAGAATACAACACAAAAAAGTGCTTAGAGCAGTTGTGTTAAGCTAGCATTGACAAAGTCGTTGAAGGCAAAGTCTATTTTCTAGTGAGATGTGAGATGCGTTGTGTAACTCACTAGCCAGAAGGCACTACAGAATGGGTGTCCCCCCTTGTGATCGCAAGGGCCACTGTGCATAGCACTAGCCCAGGAACAGACCAAAGTGCAAAATGCAAGGCACATCTTTTACTCAATGCACTTTACTCTTGAACCACCATAAAGTTAAAAATTGGAAGTCAAACCATTAAACCTTTAATCCTCATAATAACTCCTTAGTGTAGGCACTGTAATATTGCCCCATTTCCCAGATAAGGAAACAGGTAGAAAGAGGTCAATAACTTTCCAAAGCCAAAGAGGCAGACAGGGATTGTAACCAGGTAGTATGGCCAGCTGTCCCGGGCTATCAGGAGCCCCATCTGTGAGTCTCCAGGTCCACTCCAGGTGCTCTGGGGCCAGGGTTGAATGGGCTCAACTGCTATCTCCTACTTGTCTGAGGACTGGAGGCTGTTGGGGAGACCTGCAAGAGGACAGGAAGGGATGGGTAGAGCCGGGTCGGGGAAGAGCTGCATGCTCACCTGCAGCACATGCTCCTTGCTGCCCAGAGCCGAGGAGATCTGGTACTTGCTGGAGTTGCTGAGGTCTCCTTTGGTGCTCAGCCAGCGCACCTCGGGTTTGGGCTGCCCACAGACCACAGCTCGGAAGATGGCATTTTTCCCTGCAGCCAGAAGAGGCAGTTGGAGAGACCAATAGGACGTGTGTGTGTGTGTGTGTGTGTGTGTGTGTGTGTGTGGTGGGGGGATTGCTTGACAGCATACTTTACTGAGATTCTAATTAATGCCATCCTCTCTGCTTTGGAAATTCCAACTACCTATTCCTGGCAGGGAACCAGGCCTTGCTCCCCTGGACTCAAGACTCAACATCAGGTGGAAAGCTGCAGTTTGCAAATATGCGGAAGCATCACAGGCCTGACTTGGAAAAGGAATGCAGTTTGGGGCTCCCCGTAGGAAAGATGGGACTGGACTGTCCCTGGTGAGCAGGAGAAGCAAGTCAGATTTAGAAAAGCAAAGTCCTGTGGTGAGACGAAGCTGAAGACCTGTTGAAGATCTCAGCACCCAGCCTACTTAGAGAACTTGTTTCTGTCCAGAAGCAGGAAGATGTTTCCCCATCTTCACTCCCTTACAAAAACCCATCTCTCAGCCTGACGCTCAGTCCCTCTTGAGGAAGCTCAACCTGTCTTCCCGCTTGACAGTGCACTCAGTGACTAAATACACTCTTATCTTTGCTACAGTGCTGTCTACTGGTAAGTCCTTCTACCAGCCACATCACTGGTGCTCTCTATGCCAGCTGGCATCACAAGTACCATTATCTCACATCACAATGTCGTGAACCACAATTTACTGCAAGGCCCTGTGTCAGGGGAAGAACACTGGCCTGAAGCCCTTTCCCAGCAAGCTGTGGAGTCCACTACCATGCTGGAACTTTTTCCCTACTGCCTTCTAGAAGGGCCTCTGGAAGCTCCCCTTCAGCCACCAGGCATGTGGTGAACTGGAGGAAAAGTGAGAAGAGAGGTTTTGTCTAGGCCTCTTTGCAGCAATGGCTTTGAGGCAGGCAGGTGAAGGGAGGGCTAGGAAACACTACTACATCTCCTAGTTTAACATTTCCCCATCCTTACATAATTTTTTAAAAATGTATTTGGTACAGGGTCTCACTACACAACTTGGACTCATAGTGATCCTCCTGTTTTCAGCCTCCCCAGCACTGGGATTACAGGCATGCGCTACCACGCCCAGACTCGGTTACAGGCTCAGTGCACCCAGGAGCAAGGTCAGTGCAGCATGCAGGACTGAGGATCAGGGATCAAATCCTGGTTCCTGCACTTGCCAAAGCAGGCGCTTAGTTCACTGAGCTGTCTCACCAGTCCCTGGCCTAATATTTCTTACATGCCCTTTGCACAATATTCTCCCAGGTTCCTTGTCCCTCACTGGGATCCAGGGAGGCAGACACCCTTCAAGCATACAAGGGAGATGAAATACAGCCTGGTGATGGATGTGGGGATGGGTCGCCCAGGACGGTGTTCCCCAGGTCTCTCCTCTGCGTGTGCTGGAAGGCAGAACAGGGAAGGTGCCTTCCCTCAGCAGAGTCCACGGGGCTCACCCTCCTGCAAAGCCAAGGTGACGGGCTTCTGCTCAAAGTCCGGCGTGCTGCAGCCTTCAGGAATCTCCTCCACCAGCTGCCGGATGCTCACACCCGGAAGGGAGGACTTCTTCACAGGCTTCCCTGGAGGAAGCAAGAGAGAGGGAGGTTGCCCTGCCCTCTCTAGGATGCCCTTTAGCACAATGGAGTACCACCCACAGGAGCAAGGAGCAAAGAGCAAAGCCCCTTCCCTCTCCCATTGTTGGGGCAGGTTGTCCAGCCTCCCTCCTGCCTCAGAATACTACTTTTTAACTTTTCAGTGGGAATCTGATAGTGTAAGTGGAGCCCCAGGAAATGGCAAAGAGTGCCCTGAGAAAACCCTCCTGTGTCACTAGGGGAAAGCTGGAAAGCGAGTGAGAAATGGCTCCTTCCCAGGAAGTAGGAGCCCACATGGAAGCCCTGCATCCCTTATGTAGGAAAGCAAGGCAAAACACAAAGTCAAAACTGAAAAAAGCAAATATGTGGGTGGGTTCTGCCTTTTATTCCTCTCCACCTGACCAGGAAAGCCATGGGCTGGAACTGGAGGGATCATCAGTTTTCCTCTCACCCGCCATCGTTCTGTCCCTCTTTGGCTCTTCAGAAGGCTGAAATTGATCTCCTGAGGACGGGAGACAAGTTGCTTAGGAAAGGTCCAGTCAGGTCTTGTCCACCCCTCCCACACCTTCAGTGCACTGGCCAGCACCTTAGAGGGACACGCTGTGAAAAGCTGCTGCTCCAGAGCTTGCCAAACCCCAAGTGGACACTATCATTTTCCTGCAGTTCCCTGGCTCCAGCCCACCAGCTCCCCAGAGACAGGGCAGGGGCAGATGGCTGCCCAACTTACCTTTCCCAGGTACAGGAAACCACAGTGCTGAGGCTCTCTACCTGACCTTCTGGAGGGACCTGGGCACATGACCCCATGAGAGTGAGTTGCAGCTTTTCCAAAGCTCATTTAGGGTTCCTCCAACTGCTTACTGACCTATTAGCTTTACAGTGTGAATCCGCCAAGGAAATTCTTCAGCCTCCTGACTCCTCCCCAGCTCTGAGATTTACTGCAGTCTGGCAGCCCTCTCCCTTCTCCCCTCAAATCATCTGGAATCTTTCAGGTCTCAAGGTCTGTGGAGAAGAAGAGTCCCTGACTTGGCCGCTCATGAACTCTTCTATGCCCAGGCCAATGGAATCACCATAAATCCACCTGCTCCCCTCTGAGGCAGTGAATTATAGTGTCAGGGGAACAAGCGCATTTCTCAGCTTCGCCCAACCACCACCACCACTACAACTATTGTCACCTCTGCTTTCCTCTCAATCACATCCATCTGTTATGGCCAACAGGGAGTCCCACACAGGAGAGGCCAGGAGTTGGCTCTGGGGCAAGATGTGAGCTGTCACTGAGTTGAGAGAAGTTTGAACGAACTCTCCAGAAACTTCACTTCCTGTGTGGTTGGCCCATGGCCAAGCATTTCCGTTTAGAAGACTAGTTCCTGCCCAAAGAGCCCACCTGCCCATATAGAATTGCAGACAATTCCTCCCTCCAACTGATACACCTCCATTTCACAAATTCCCACCCCCTGCTATTTCTGGACCCAGTGTGCCCCCTCTGCAGCCTGACCACTGGCCCTCAGCATGCTAGAATGCCATGGTGTGCCAGACACTTTCTGGAGCAGTCATGGGCACCATGTGCCGTAGCCGCTGTGCTGAAAGGAGTCATGAAAAAGGATAGGAAAAGAGGGCAGCTGCTCATGAGGAGGCCCCATGGGCTACCCTTTGGGGAGAGACACCAAGGTCTCCATTCCACCCTGTCAAGACAGCAATGTCCCCCACCCTGAAGTAGCTTGAGTTCAACACAGCCGTCTTAGTTACTCTCTTCTCCTCATCACCCCCGGCTTGTGATCAGCTGATGCCTAGGCTGCTTGTCACATGAGAAATATAACGTGAATGCCAGCCCTCCTCCTTAGCTTTCTGCCTACAGGTCAAGTTGAGTAGCCAGAAAAGCAGAGGTGGAGCTCAGGGTCTGATGGGAAGCTAGCTCACCCTCACAGTTTCTACATTTTTCAGGAATATGCTAGGTTAGGGCCGGCCAAATAGCTCAGTGGATTAAAGCACCTGCAAGCAGGTGCAGGGGTCCAGGGTTCGATCCCCGGGACTGCCATGCTGACCCCGCCCCTGGGGCACACTGAGGAGGCAATTGAGACTGGGCGTGGTGGTGCACACCTGTAATCCCAGCTCTTGGGAGGTTGTAAATAGGTGGATCACTGTGAGTTCGATCTAGTAGTGAGACCCTGAACGCCCTGTAGACCCTTCCCTAAAATCCCCCCCCCAAAAAAAGGAATATGCTAGGTTGAGTACCAGGTCAATGACAATGAGTAATAGGTCTGTCTGGTTGGAGACTGAAAGGACATAGGCTCAATTGGAGGGGACAGGAAAGAAAATAAATTTTTTCCTCTATGATTTACCCACACATTTGAGAAGAATCCTATTTCATTACAGCAAACACAGTAGCTTGTGGCCTCCCTTTAGCTCAGTGCCGCACATCTTTCAGCCTAGGCCCCAGGTTACAGCCCTGGGCTATGTCCCCTGGACCCATGGCTTGGCTCTCTCATCGTCAGCTCTAACTGCTGCTCTGTCCTGGGAATTCAGGTCCCTGTTACCTTCAACTTTTCAACTGGTACAAAGAATGAATGGAGTTTCTCAGAACTGCTCTAATCGAGTTATTAATTAAGCTATTACAAGTCCCAGTTCTGAGGTTCTTATTCTGGACTGCTAGTGGAATTTTTAATCTGGTTGTCAAGTCGCTCTGAACCAATTAGTACCCAAAATTAGAGCCAGGGAAGAATCACCCAAACAGGATTCACCCGAATTATCTTCTCCAAATATCCTGCAGAGTTATCTATGAGAAATGCTGATGTACCCCCCAGTGTGTGACCAGCCAGCCAGAGAATGTTCCAGGTGTGACCTTATGCCCCTTGCCTGTCTTTTCCATGAACAGGAAAGTTAGAGAACAGGTCAGTGTCCATCTCTGCCCTTCCGGGCCTGGGTAAGCAGCCAGATGTGCAGGGCCCACTTACCTGGATACACAGTAGCTTCCTGTCCACCCCCTCCTCCTCGTGTCCAGCTGCTGCACTCTGCCAGACGCTCTGAACCGTCTGGTGGTGGCCAGGCAGAGCTGGAGCAGATGTAGGTCAACACAGGCGCCTCGGCTCCTCCGCCCCTCCCACTCACCCTGCCTCCCTCCTCCTTCACCCAGGCTTGGCAGGCCAGGGCCCCCCAGGGCTAACACTAGCCTTGAAGGAGGTCAGAGACAGAAGGGTCTGGTGACATCTGCCTATCCAGCTCCTCATTTTGCAAAGCTTTTAACCCTTAGCCAGATCGGCTGAGTGTAAGTGTGCTCTCTGATGCCTCCTTTCAGTGATGGCTCTTAGCAGGGGCAATTTCATCATCCAAAGCCCTAAATTTTCAGCTACATTCATCCTTCCCTTGAGAACTTTCAGCCATAAGTCACACACATATTTAAGGCCTCTCTCTTTTGGAGAATCATACCTCAATATGATAGCACATAGCCAGAGACCCAGGACAGTGTGGGGCCAAAGACTCTGCCTGAGAGTGGCAGGGAAGGGAGGCACAGTGGGAACCACAGAGCGGGAGACTTGGGAAAGGTGAGCATGCTCTGAGGTTTTTAAAGTACAGTATAGGAAGGGTGACTTGCAGGTGGGCTGGGGACAGAAGTTATGAGGGCAAATGAAAGGGGGTTTGGTGCTCGCTTCGGCAGCACATATACTAAAATTGGAACGATACAGAGAAGATTAGCATGGCCCCTGAGCAAGGATGACATGCAAATTTGTGAAGCATCCCATATTTTTACAGCTGCTTTCTCTTAACTCAATGAGAAAAAAGATTCGTATTAATAGTGTTTGGACAGGATATCATGTCTGCATCTTTTACTATGAATAACCACTATGAAGACAACAATATGCACTGTATTAATTATTGAAACTATCCTACTAACCTGTTTTAAAACTGTCTCAAGGTTATTTGTTTCTCAATAAAGTTAATTTTTAAAAAAACAAGATAGCTAAGAAAAAAAGAAAGGGGGTTTGAGGATGCATGAATGGAAGGTAGAAATTGGAAGCAGGGTCATGGCCACAAATCTTCTGAAGCAGAGAGAGGAAGAGTTGCAGGAGCTAGGCAGTAAAGTCACCTGGCTTTGTTTGGAAGCAATACCTGCTCTCTCCCTTAGAACAAAGATTTGGTTTTTTGCCCCCAGTAAGCAAGGGCTGATCAAGAGTTCAGATGAAAAGCTGGGCATGTCCATGTGTGCCTATAGTCCCAGCTACTTAGGCAGCTGAGACAAGAGGATCAGTTGATCCCAGGAGTTCAAGGCCAGCCTGGACAATTTAGATCTCATCTCAAAAGAAGGACAAGGTGAAATAGAAGAAAAATGTGGAAACGGTACTAATGTTTCCTTCCATGGAAGTATGCTGAGTATTTCTACAGACTCATGAGAACCACACCAATTGTACAGGAGCTCCTTCTGAATGAGCTCTGAGAAGGGAGGGCTGACTCCTTGTATAACTTGTATCTATGCATGCCCCCTGTGTGTTTCAGGCCCTGGGAACACAACCACAGGACCCTCCCCTCAGGAAGCGTACTGTCCAATGGGGCAGACAGATGTTAACTAGTCAAGTAGAAACTGTGCTGAAGGCTCAGGAGGAGCAGAGGTCAGGAAGCTGTATGTTGGGGAGCTAGGGGAAGAGCAGCACCAGGTGAGTCTGGACAGGAAGGCTTTGGAAGCCACTGGAATGTTCCGACTTCTCTTCTTGTGTTATTGTGCTTGCTTTGAGCTGAAGCCATGACAGGATCCAATGTGTATTCCTTACAAGTTCAGCCTGACTGCAGGGAGGAGAAGAACTTATAGGACAGTGGAGAGGTAAGAGTGTGGCCTTCAAGAAAGCAGCCTAATAACCTTAAGGTGTTTTTGTTTTGCAGGGCCCTGGCCTCCAGGGTTCCTGCTGACACCATCTCTTGCATTATCCAAGAAGGGAAGAGGAAGGCTGCAAACACGGCACAACATGGAGTCCTTCAGCATATCAGGCTCCTCCACTGTACTCCCAGGAGCTGATGGGCTCTTCCCTGAGTCCTGGAGGTGACCAGCAGGCCCATGAGTCCTAAGACGTCACCACATTAGGGTTGCCTCTCCTGTGCTGTGTCACACTTGGATCCCTGTCATTGAGAAAAGATGAAAACTTCAGGACTCCAAGGAATTGAGATAGTCAAATATCTTCCACCCACTCCTTACCCTCTATTAAGGCTGGTGTTTAGTGATACAGGGCTGTGCCTACCTAGCCTGCATCCATGTGAAGGTGAGAATTTTCAGTTGTACTAAAGGTCCTGTCCCAGGCACCAGGTGTGCTGTCTGTGATTGGCAGTCAGTAGAAAGGGGTGACAGCAGGTGGCCACTCTGGAGCCCAGCTCCCCCTACGACTTTCCTGGCCACCGTTCAAGCCAAAAAGCCAGGTGTTGTGACTCTTCCAGTAATCTTCCCTATTGTCCAATTTTTAGCCAGTCACATCTCCTATTAGACTTTTCCTTTGAGAAATAAAAGTAAGACTTTGCTTTCATTAGTTGTTGTAATATTAATGTCAAAACAGCTCTGGGCAAAGGGTTTGTATGTATCGTTTACTTCCCATGATTCCTTATAGAAAGGGTGTGGAGACTTTGGGTAAGGATAAAATTACAATCTAGTAAACCTTTCCTGTCCTTGCAAGAGGGGAATTCATTATATGGCAGATAGCAAGAGGCTCTGGCCCCAGTAGGGTCTTCCCTTGGGGCTCTCTTGGTCCCTGTGTCACGGAATAAATGACAAGGTCTTTGAAGTCCTGGCCAATACAAACATCCTGTAGTCCTGGGACTTGTGGAGTGGGTCCTATAGACTTAAAAGTAAGAATTCTGTGTGAGTCAAGAGAAACACTGCCACAGCCTCTATGTCATGATATAAAAATGGCCCTGCCCCAAAGCCAACAAGCACACTCTCCATGGAATAGTATCCTCTCTTGGCCCAACTAGGGCCTGGGGAGGTGGATTAGGAAAGTGTGATTCTAAGCAAACATGCACACATGCACACTCTTACACAAACACACACACACACACACACAGACATGTGAGTGCAAGGACGTGCACATGCCCTGATGTAGATGGACTCTTGCAAAAGATACAAAATCAACTACTGACTATGGAAATGGCTTCAAGGATTTGGGCTCGTTTCTTCCCCTAGGGATTCTACCTAACCGCAGTTCTCACTCAGGAAGAGGGAGCTGTGCGGGCTGGTGGGGGCAGACAACACTTACCTGTGTTTGCTCCTGTCTTCCTTGAGCCATTGGTCTGGACTGCCTTCTGGTCTCCCTGCTCTTTAGAACCACCCATGCTGCCTCCTTTCCCAGCTACCTCCCTGGCCAGCATGCCTCCCTGTCTCTAGCTCAGCCTGTGGTCAGCATCAGCTCATGTCTTTCTCAACCCACTTGCAAGGTAATGAGTCTTATGTGGTCTCAGAGGAGTGATGTCCTTGGAGACCTCAAGGGCAATTTCATACTTGCAAAGCATCTTTCAGCCAGTGAGAAACTTGAGTCAGAATCTGATCCTCTAATCTGAAAAGGCCTGCCCCGGGGGCACAGCTGGCCCAAGGACTACAAAAGGGGACTGGTAATTGGGACTGTGCCAGAGTAGAGGCTGAAGGAGTGAGGCCACCACAGGCTCATTTACTGGAGTAGAACATATTCTTCCAGAAGACTAGAGTTGGGCAGGACCTCTGAGGACATGTAGCAACAGCCGTAAGATGACAGTACTTGACCTTCCAAGAGCTCTTGCTGCATTCTTGAGAGCTATTAACTCATTTAACGTCTCACAACAAATCTGTAAGGTACAATGGATTAGTAGCTCCACTAATGGTGAGCAGAGCAGTTAGAGTCTACTTTCCCAGAAGGGGAAACCAAGACAAAGATTATATAACTGAAGCAAAGTTACACAGCTGGTGAGTGACAGAGCCAGGGTAAGGACCCGAGCGCTCCTGTGCCATGCTAAGGCTGCACTCTTAAGGACTAGTGTTCTGTGGACCTACCGCAGCTCCCTCGTCTTCCAAGGGGGGCATGGAGTGACAATGACCTGCCAGAGGGCACACAGTGGTGTGGTAAGCGGCCAGATCTGCCTCCCCACAATGCCAAATCTCTCCAGACCCCTGAGGTCTCCATTAAGCCAGGCGAGTGGTCTTCTCCTTCGACACAAGGTGCAAACCTACTCTATTCGTGACGGTGGAATTTGTGTGTATTTGGTCTCTGCACAAGCGCACCTGCCTTTTCCCGTGCAGTGACCACCATGAACCCAGCGACTGTGCGACATTCTCCTCCATCCCACACAACATCCGATGAAGCAGAAGCTCACGGCCTTCATTTCTACAGAGAAGGCAGCGGAGGTGACATGAGATTAAATAACACCTCCGCTGTCCCCTAGCTAGTAGAAGCCCTGGTCAGGGTGTGAGCAGAGCACTTAGATTCTACTATACTCGTGCCTCCTGGCTCAGATACTCAGAATCTTAGAAAATAGTGCCATTTTGTGTACTGTATGGATCTAGTCCTTTGATTATGAACCTGATCTTCAAAAAGTATCTACCAGAGGAGCTGGGAAGATAGCTCAGTGGTCTAAGTGCCTGCCTGGGAAATGCAGAGACCCAGGTTCAATCCCTGGTATCTCATGCCATGTCAGCCCCGGAATCCTGGGCACGCTGTGCCGGCCACCAAACCCCAGTGTGGTGGTGCATGCCTGTAATCCCAGGGTTAGGAAGGCTGAGACAGGAGGATCACTATGAGTCTGAGATGCATAGCATCTCAAATAAATAAATAAAAGATTAAAAAATATATCTACCAGAAACTATCAAAAGCTGAAAGGAACATGGCCTCTTTTAACTTGGGCTGCTTCCTTCTGGTACTTTTTATAAAAGAAGACAGGATAAAACAGGCTGAAAATTGGATAGTATATTTTGAATATTTACCTGTATTCACTTAACAGTTTAAATTTATAGAAACAAAATGTTTTGCAATGTAACCACACTGTTCACAGGTTAGTACCAGATTTATACAGGGTTTATCTAGGTCCCTGCCAGTGGCCT